TTATTGAGGTAGTGGTACTTGTCTTAGATTCGGTTGCTGCAGTTTAAATTCACATAAGAGGCAGCTTGTCAATGGTTATGTTGCAACCCAAGGCCTTACTTGGGCCTTATTGTTTATTCTCATATAAATTAAAGAGGAATATCTTGTCTGCATGCAGAGTGAAGCTTCAAGCCTGAATTTGTTGTTTGGAAAGCTGTGAGAAAGCGAGGATTGGCAAGGAGCACCAACTTTGTGTTCTTTCCTCGGCAGGAAGAATCAAAGTCTCTGGAAATGCCATAGGCAAGCAGTGGGAATGGCTTAGTCACTGGTTTATTCAGCTCATAACCATAGTTACCTTGGACTACAATGTCCATGAACAATGCACTCTACAACTTACCTGATGATGTACTGATCTACATCATTGCATTTCTTTCCATTCCTGACATTCTTCTCCTCTGACAAGTGAATATTTCCTAGCTCAATGATCCTAGATCCTAGATCCTAATAAAGACAGACATGTACCCAGTTCAACACACTCACAAGACTAGAGATTGTTATGGATATTAGGTATCTGTCATTAGTCAACACTCACCGACTGCTTACTGTACAAAACATCACATAGGCTATAGAGATTTCTTCCATTTTCTTTTGCTTTCTTTTGCTTTCCTTCGATACTCTTCTTGTATATTCTTTAGCTATTCACCTTCCAGAACATTCATCTAGTAGAATATTTATACTGAGTATCGTAGTACACCTGAGGGGCATCTAATTTTACTTCTTAAATTCCTCAACCCAGTGTGAACTTAAATACAGATGTTGGTTACACCAAGTGCTTGCTGAATGTCTTGCTTACCGACTATGCCAAGCACTTTTCGGATCTCTTTAGTGATGCCTAGCACTTGCTAACTCTTGGTTGGAGACTTCTTGGTAAAGTTGAACTCATTATATTCTTCATTCTCTTTGGCATGGATTTTTATTAAGTACTACTGCTTTGTACTTAGTTGGAATTAGCCATAATCATAACAGAGATCATATGGATCAATGCATTCAAATTCAACATTCTCTCCAATGACTACCCCGCTCCCATTGATGACACAGATCTTGAACAATGCATGCTTCACATGTACCGACTCACATCTCAATGGCTTGCAGACTCTCCTCTCATGCCAGAGTGAGACGAGTTTCATTGGGTCACCCGTATGGGAAATCAAATTCATACCAGGCTGACAGCACAAGTGGTTGCTGATCATATAGAAAAGGATCTGGTTGGTGCTTACAATCTGGGATATCTTGCATGGGTTCAAGTGTTCAGAGTGGTCACCAAGAGGCATGCTGTTTACTGGATGAAGCTGAACATGGATACAGAGTCTGAGGTGAGTATGGCTGTGGTGTTGGATGGGTGAGTGTTTGTTATTCTGATGACACATTGCTAACTGGTGTGGATCAGAGAGGATTGTGCTCCTGCATCTGGATGATGATGGAAGGATGGATGAAATTCACTCATTCAACATTGACCTCTGCCCTGTTACCTTCACTGGTGATATCATAGCTCTCAGCGATGACTTGTCCAAGACATTGATCTATAATTGGAGGACAGATGAGCAGGCCTACCTCAATGAAGGAGGCAACATGCAGGTAACCATTTGCTAACTGATCTGTTTATCACTTATTTATCTTGAATCATAGTACAACTACTGCATCCAAGTCATCTTCACTGTGCTAACCATTCTCATCATCTGCACACACTCCATCAACCCTGTACACTACCCTGCCCTTCCTCCATGGACAAACACACTCTCCCATTACCTCCTACTCCTTCAGCTGGATCAACAGTGCCAGTGCAACACCCACCTCAATCCTCATCCGCTCTGAGAGTGATAACCCCTGGGCACCAGAACTCAACTCATTCAAACACTATTCTCTCTCTTCCTTCCCACCAACCCTCACCAGCCAAATACTCTCCCAGCATGGTGCACCTTGTTGCACTGACATCATCCTCAGGAAACATGAGACTGCTGTATGGATATGGCCCCATGACCATGTGATAGCCTCCCACTGGGAGAAACATGATGGTGTGGGACACTCATGGCTGCCCTATTCCCTGGTCCACTCAACTCCACTGCTGAACCCTGTGTTTGCAAGGTATGCTTGAACCTGTTGACTAACTGGACCACATTGGATTATGATGAAGAGCTCAGGAGAATCGCCCTCAGGTTGGGGTTTGGGAAGATTACTGTTGTCCAGTTGTAGTCCAAATACATGTCCTCCTGACATACAAGGTGTGATGTCAAAAACCAGGGTTTGAATCTCTTTGGAAGGGTTAAGATATAAAATAAACTTTTTCTTCCTTGCACATGAGCCCAAGCTTGATTCTGCACATCCAACCTTCATGGAAGTAATTGTATTTTCACTACTAAGCTATCTGCCTTTCTACTGTCTGACTATTTGTGTGATTCTTATGGGTGGCTAGTTTCTGCAATGAGTATCGCTATAAGGGAAACTGTAAATGGCAGTTCAAGTAATCCTTGGTGATGCTGTGGTCTTGGCATGTCAATTGTCTGGGTTTGAGTCCTGGTTAGAGGATTATGTGCATATTCTGCGATGTCTTTGTATCATCTTGTTAGAGTTCTTATGCAATGGTGAGCTCTGGAAATATCACAGATGAAGTCAAATTAGTCATGTTTGGGTCACATCCTCTTGCTTGGCATACCCATCATATTTTGCTTTCAGTTTTAGTTGTATTTTCCTTACAAGACCCATGTGTCTCCCTTTCTATTTATGTATCACTATAGAAGATGACCAAAATAATCCTTCATGATGCTGTGGGTCTCATCCTGTACTGCTTACTGCCTGGGTTTGAGTCCTGGTTGAAGGGTTGGCTGTCCTACATGTGCTTCTTTTTTGTACCTTCTTGTTCTTCTTATCTGTATCTGGAAGTTTATGGTACCTCAGACAAAGTTGTGGCTTTACCAATTGTTCACCCATCCATGATATTCGTTATGATCTCTGGAGTCAGCATTCTTATGTATCCACTTGGACCCTTACGATGGCTCCTCCCTCAGCCCGTCTCATGATTGGGGCATCACATTATTGCTACTTTGTTTTGTTAGACTCCCCCTGTATACCTTACTTCTCAAATTCAGTTTTACCTCCAGTCCTGACTTTATGGAGCATGCTGACCAATGGTAATAGAACTTAGAAAGAGTCTCCTCCATCGTTCCTTGATTCTATGTGTGCTGTGTAATATGGCACCATGATTCAAATGCTGAAGATGCCATTCAAAGTGGATCATTTTGCACCCTTGTTCTGCGGCTGTAGTCATGAGCCTTCTCTGTATTTTTTTCTCCCTGCACAAGGTTGTAGAGTTCAAAGCCAAGCTTAATGGGTGGGGGACCATCCAGGGGGTGCGATGGTTCAGGCTTGTTGCAATCAGGAACTCCTCTTAGTTTTTTGTAGCACATAGGTAAAGCTACTTTGTCCAAGTGAATATATCCTCACTGTGATGAGGATACAACCCTCAGATCTACCAGCTGATTTAGATCAACGGACCATAAATCAAGCAAGCTGCCCATGGTTTGATTCTGCAGGTCAGCTCATCACTATTCTGTCATGAAATGTTGATTTTGTTCTCTGTTTTGATTTCAATCCAGGGTTTTTGTGAAGAAGGTGAGACAGTATGCTATATGTACAAGCTTCTGCTGATTCATCTTTCTATGGACCCTGGTGTAGCTCAGGAAAGGACTTCAGTATTGAATTGGGCACATCCACGTTATCACTTTTGTTAATGAGAAAGATATACTATACTATTGATCATCATAGATCAGAGGAGTGGATAATCAGAACCTGGAGTAAAATGTAGACTGTCCTATTTGTTAAGAAACAACACTGGGGGACATTTATGTTATGATATTGCCAAGGTATTTGGCTGTATTCCGAAGGAATAAGGCAATCAGGGCTTCAGCTTGCAATAGTCTGGCAAATGAAGAAAAAATGCCAGTTGATTGTGCAGAGATATACTTTGCTGGACCATTAAGAATCCTATACTATGGCTACTATGAGAGCTCAGGAAACATCTGGTATGGATGCACCATAGGTAAGATTTGTAGCACTGTCATCTTACATTCCTTTCTATTTAAACTAAAAAGTTCAGTGGAAAGTGGCATATTGCTCAGTGGTCCATATAGTAGGATATCAGAGAAAGAACACTGCCATTATTCCCTGCCCACCCAATGGAAACTTTGGTATCTGTTCTTCAAACTCAAACTGGAGAGATCATCCAAGGCTGTCACGATAGAGATCACAGAGTATTTAGAAGGGAAGTATTTTAATAATAATTACTGCTCTAATAGCTATATGGTTTCCACAGCAGATCAATAGTAGATGGTATAGCTTGTGCAGAAATAAGGCCAGTTATCAGGGTGAAAAAATGGGTCATATCTCAGAGCCTCAATCCTTGGCTGTTGCTGTGATTTAACAACCCTGGCATTTTTGGATGCTTGATGTGAGGGCATCAGTGTTTTATATCAAGAAGAATTGGATATATTAGTCATGGGAAATTGGAAGCCTCTCAGCCCATAACCTTCTTGTTCAATGACCATCACTCTCAACAACCTGCCTGATGACCTGTTGATCTATGCCATCACATTTCTCTCTATCCCTGATATTCTGCTTCTCCATCAGGTGGGTATAGTTACTTCTCTCCAAGATCAGTGCTCTTACCTGCTCCTTGTGAAAAGACTTGTACTCGGTTTAATGCACTCACAAGGCTAGAGATTGTATGGATCAATGCATTCAAACTCAACATTCTCTCCAATGATTACCCCTGTCCCATTGATGACACCAATCTTGAACAGCACACATGTCATTCCTACCAACTTGTGTCTCAATGGCTCACAGACTCTCCTCTGACCCCCATGAGTGAGATAAAATTCACTGGCTTGCCTATAAATGATATCAAATTCATACCAGGATAGCAACACAAGTGGATTCTGATAGTATCATGTAGGACCAAGAAGGTGCTGATGGTCTGGGATATCACATGCATGCACAAGTGCTCAGAGTGGTCACCCAAAGATGAGAAGCCATTCACTGAGATAATTCTTAATAAAGACCCTGAGTCTGAAGTGAGCATTGTGGTCACATTGGATGGGTAAGTTCTTGTTTCTCTGATTACTGGGACCCATCGCTGACTTGTGTAGATCTGAACAAATTTTGTTCCTCCATCTCAACAACAATGGAACCTTGCATGAAATCCATGACATCAATGTCAATTTCCACCCAGTCAGCCTGAATGGTGATATTGTAGCTTTCAGTGATGACATTTCCAAAACATTGCTCTACAACTGGAAGGCAGAGGAGTGGGACTACCTCAATGACAGAGGCGATATACAGGTAACCATTCTGTAGCTGTTCAAATCATGCATATTCATTTCTTACACTCACAGGACAACAATTGCAAACATATCATCTTTTCCCCAACCTCCATTGTCATCATCCATGCCAACACTCTTAGTGTCTATGCCTTGCCACCCCTCTTTGGCCAAACCAACACCCCCATTATGACAAACCTTTTTGACTGGCACATTAGCACCAGCACAACACCTACATCCCTCCTCACACTTTCTGAAAGCTACAGACCATAGATGTTACAGCCCCATTTGTTCCAACTGTACTCCCCGGCCTCTGTTCCCCCAACCCTCCTCTCAGAAGGATTATCCTGCCATCATGTAATTGTTGGCAGATCAAGCCAACAACTGTTGGTGCATCAACCTTTGTCCAGTCACCAGACCTTACCCACACCACCATGAATTATCATGTATATACTCAAAGTTTTTATCTTACTAACTAAGCTACAATTTTAGAACACTCTTAGAACATACTAGAATAATTGTAGAGGTATAAAAGCCTTGCATTCATACTGCGATAGACTTAGATTATCCAATTACTCTCCCACTCATTACTACTGCTGCTCACAGGTTATGGGCCCTGGCCATAACTAATTCTCAATACCAGTACACTCACCTCACATAGATTTACCTCCACAATCGATTCATCCTCACCATGTCCACCAACAACTTCTCATCCACCACAAAACTTGGAGAGTACTTTGCCAAACTCCTTGCATGCAAGGCTGATGGCATGAACTGGATATTCTTTCATGATTGCTTCCTTTTTGCTGTTGATGCTGTAGGTCTGAGTGACCATTTCGAGGATGTTGGAACTGCAACAGAACCAACTGCACTAACTGCAGTAGATCCCAAGAATATGGAATACAAGACTGGTACGCTCCGGTTATAAGCAATAGCCGGTATTTGCAATGCTAACACCTGCCATGTATAGCAATATGACCCCGGAAACTTATCTGTAGCCAAGTATAGCATAACATTGAATATCATCTACATAATATTTATTTTTCCTTTCTGCTGGGTAATCAAAATTCCCAGTTTTGTGCTTATGGCAAACTCGGCATTCCATGATTTGAAATGAGCCTGTGGGTTGTACGTAGATACATTGTTATGCTTTTCGTGGTTCTGAAATACGCAACTGTACAGGTCATAGATTATGGATAGTAAGTAACCTATGTTAATCTTGCATCCATAACCTTCCGAGAAAACAAAGACCCATACGCTTCCGAAAATGAAATGTTTCAATCAAGTTTCCACCATATGTCTTCATCGTTGGCGAGTCGTTTCTTTATAAAGGACATCAATCAGTGCAATTCAGCTTGAGCCTTGGGTTTATGGGACTAAAGCGCAGCTGATCGATGGTTTTGAGGGGATCAGTATTCGGACAATTTTTTCTTCGATCTCTTTGCCCAGGAACTGATAGCGGCATGATCAAGTACCTGAAGCTATGGTTGAAAGTTCTTAGAGCTTTTCAGGCAAGCTGTGATTATGGATGATGCCGTGTTGATGACATCACATGAGACAATATGTCAACCAGTAGAGTGCAATGTCTTTGACTTCGATAGATTGTGCAATATGTGCATCAAAATCCATGGTCGTTATGTATACTAGGTCCAAAACGAAATTCCCCTTGTTCACTGCTAACTGGCATAAATAGGTCGAAACAGGTGACTTGCTGATTTATTTGAAGACACTCAATTTCTGAAGACACTCCACATTTAGATAAGAGATTCTCCATACCACATGGTCCTTTGTAGAGTAGCTGTGCTCATACGTGTTCAATTACTATAGTTTTGGAAATTAGGTTCAATCGGAACTAGGGGAATATAATTCTTTACAGATAAATCTCTAGCCATAGTAAAGAACAGGATGGCAGCCAGAGCAAGTACTACCAATTGGAAGATCAACAGCATTGCACCTCAAAACGTGTTGACTTTAGGCAAATTGTTTTCACATGGGAAATTCAGACTCAGTTCAGACTCCGATGAAGTAACTGCTCACATCAAAGATCGTTATCATTCATCAATCACTTTTGACTCCTATTGGCTATGTGTACCCAAAGATATAAGCCCTTGAGTAAATTGGCACATTCTGCAATTGTTTCATTCTCACAGGGTTCTCAGGGCCAAAAACTGTCCCTTATTCCGATTCTCTCCAGAAGATGAGGAGGATCAAGATAACGTAGCTGAAGACTGTTCACAAGATTCA